AAACTTTTTAAAAACTTGTAATATTGTTAGAAAATGTCTCAATATCAACAAAATTTATTTTAATAACATCAATAATAATAACTTAATTAATAATAATTCATTAAGTTGCGAGGCGGAAGATCTGCAGTGACGCTAGATTGGGGTTTTTTACATTAATCTCATTTCAAACAAATTATCAACAATAATACCCGTAATGGTGAATCTTGCCTGACTGCATATCTAAAAAAAGTTGTGGAAATTATTTGTCAGAAAATGAAAATAATTATCTGGCAAATGGTTTCTTCTTCTTTTGCCGGGTCAAATAATGATAATAAAATAAGTGAAGTGAAGTGTGTCAATTTATGATTTTTACAATAAAAAGAATTTACAAAAAAAAGTCTAAAAAAATCGTGCGCGAATGTGAATTGGTAGCACTGCATTCCCAAAAATTACAACCCCCAATCTTAAACTCAGCGAAGCAGGACAATTTCAAATTCTAAGTTGTATTAATGCAATAATTGGTTCATTAGAAACCCTTAATCGATTTTTTAATCGCTATTTTGTTTTTTAATTAGCGCTGGTGACGATTACATTACCAAAATTCAAAAACACCAACCTGACACAACAAAGACTATTTCATAAAAACAAATAAATAAACCAAATAATTTTTTAACACTCATACCACTGATTTGCATTCTTCTACACTGACGACTGACGTTTGTTTCCTTTATTATTTTATTATTATTTTTGGCGTTGAAAAATAAAGGGGGTATTTAAAATTTTAACAGGAAAGATACATACAGAATAGCATCGAAATATTAAATGTAATTTAAAATTTTAAACACCCTTTAAAATTGTTGTATGTTTACAGAATAGGCCCTTACATCCAAAAATGCCAATTTCATTAAAAAAAACACAAGTTTGTATCGTAACTTATTTTTGCGACATGCTGTAGGGTTGAAAATAATTTTAGGTGTTGCATTAGATTAGGTAGGTATACAATTTTTTTTTAATTTTTCCATTTAAGATCACTAATGGACTTTTTCAACTCGCTGGGACAATCTGTATGTACATACTTGCACTGTTTAATTTTTGGTTACATTTTTTTTGTTTTCTTGTATTGTTACTAATATTGTTGTTTTTATACATTTACCAGCGTATTAAAATTTGAAAGTTAAAATTATTAATAAAAAAATATTTTTTTTCGGAGTTAAATTGATTTGTAAAAAATTCAGAATTTTAAAATTTCCATTCCAAAATTAAATCTGTGACTTGGATAAGAACGAAACACTGATGTAAAATTTTGAGTTAAAAGTTAAATTTTAATTTGAGTTTTTATAATTGTGCAATTTTAGTTTAAGTTGGAGGTCAAAATTTGTAAGTTGCGTTTCTGGATCTTATAATTCCGAGTATATCTTTCAAAAAATGCAAAAAAACAAACGGTGTTTCATTTAAAAAAACACTAGTTTGTTTCGTCACTTATTTTTGCGACATGATGCATTAAATTAGTAGGTATACAATTTTTTTTTTAATTTTTCCATTTAAGATCACTAATGGACTTTTTCAACTCGCTGGGACAATCTGTATGTACAGGGTGCTGCATTTTGGATGTCCGAATAGGGAATCTCCGAAACTAACAGGTTTAGCCAAAAACGAGTAATACATTCTCGGGCTCATTTTTTGAGAAAATAATATTGGTTAAAACCGCATGCCGCTATCGTCTTTTGTTTTCGACTTATAGACAAAAATTGACATTTTAGCAAAACCTAAAAAAATTCATATCTTCGTTATTATAGAAGACACAGATTTGAAATAAAGACATTATACAGGCACTTTTTTACGTAGAATTTAATAATGTAGTTAACACTTTTTTTCAGTTGTTTGTTTAGCCGTAATAAAATAAACTTGTATTTTTTTAAATGGGAATCATAGATGGCTATGTCATTTTTAAAAAGCTTGTTTTTTTCTTTTCTAAAAAATATATATTTGTAACAAATTATTATGATACATTTTTAGCAAAAAATTATCTTTGATTTTTGTCCGCAGTTGGCCATGAAAAAATGTTGCATCTTCAACTAAAAGGATTTAAACTATATTATATTCAACCAGTGTCACTAATGAAAGAGTTTTCTAAGTACTAAGTAATGAAAAAAATGTAAAATAAATCGTAAATCAACTTATTGGCGACTAATAACATTTCTTTGTTTTTAAACAAGCTATCATTACCATTGCAACTTCTAGTGATCTATAGAGTGTTGTAAAAAAAAGCCGCTTTAATTCTTCAATAAAATATATATT